ATTTTTCTCAAAATCTAATCTTTAACATCAGTGCCTGCTTGAGGCCCAAATATTCCAAAACTGTGGTCCAGTTTTTAAAATTCCACTTAAATTCAGTCCTTATGTGGTATGCATCTTACCACACAACTAAGAGAACAGGTCAGTAGTAAGAAAAAATTAATTGACTCAAGTACTCACATAATACTAATAGGAATTGGCCAGATTGGGTCTAAAGGTCTAAATATGCTCCTCATCTTTATACAAATAGTCAGAGAACAGAGGACTCTCCTAATAACTGGTGTCCAGAACTGAGACCCAGCTAAAATGCTTTCACACTTAAGACACTGATGGGAGGCTCTCTTGATTCATACAGTGACAGATTTGGACACAATACTGAAAACAACCAGAAATAATTATGAAGCCCTGCTTCATGCTAAGATGAAAAGGGAAGAAAGTTTGAATGCTGGCACTCCCAACTTTTTGGGGTGTTTTTTTTCCAAGAGCAGATGTTTGCAGGAAGTCTGTATTACATCAGACTGCTCTAGTGTTTTGACAGGACACAAAATGTCCATACAGTAAGACTACACAGGCAGCTGTCATTATTCATCCAGCATTATCTTTCAATTGGAGTTATGGGTATATACAGCATTTGTGTTACTGCCAATTAATCAGTTGTTGTCACTATCTGGTTATCAAACAAGCAATCTGGGAAATCTGAACCATTCCCACCCGAATGGTGCAGATTCCTCTCAGTTTTCATGTTGTGTGATTAGTTCCCCTGTTTCCTAATGCTCAGAAACTACTCACAAAATACTTTGTATCAGAACAGAAACTTTCAGAATATAAAGAATTTGCTCAGACTTATGGAAACATTTATTTCATACTTAGGTATGCCCAAGATGACTGGCACCAGAATAAACCCTTCAGTTTAGTTTGTGCACAACTTGTTACACCACATCTACATTTACAGCTTTGAATGTTGATCTTCAAGATGGAGGGACTTGATTCCCTCGTCTGCTGAGCGATATAGAAAACATCATATAAGGCATACAGCAGTACTTTTGAGTCATTACCCTATTTCAGTAAAACACAGTGACAATTTAGGTTCAGCTTTTCTCTCATATATTTGAAACATAACTGCCAACCTGCACCACTCTTGAAGAACAAGACCAGATGATGTTTATGAGGGGAAAAAGCTGATGTAAGAAACCCGTGTGCTTACCCAGAGGGATTTTACCGCAGTAACGTTCAGGACTGAGTTTTCTCAGTAACAGAGCAAAGCTAAAACCACTTTTTTCCCCCAGTGGCATTTTTTGTCATTAAAAGTGGGAACAAGTGAATACATGGGGCTGATAGACAGCACTTTATCAGAGGACAAGGTTCAAGCCTGCACCATGGCAGTTCCAGCTTTTCCAACACAGCCCCATCTCTCTACTTCCTTTACAACATCTAACAATGCAAGTTTTAGCTTCCATCCTCGTTGAGCCATCAGTCTCTCTGTGGATACTGGAAATCAAGACAATCCCATGTGGCTAATAGTGGCAAATATCAGCTGGCAGAGTCTGTACTCCCCAGTGGGGACTCAGAGGTGGGGAGAGGAACAGGGGCTTTGGATTACAAATCCATCACTGCAAACCAACAGGGGACTTCAGAATGAGGGACTGCATTTTCACGGACAAAGAGGTTCTTTGCCACAGGAAAGCAATCAGGTGCTAGCTCTTCTTCTATAAATACAGTGTGCATTTCATTTACAAAAACAAAAATTTGATTTTGACAACCAGGGATAAAAAGAGTACTTCCTGTTGATCTCACAGTACACTACTAAAGCCGTGACCTGAGTTAAAATTCTCTAATGAAATAACAAAGACGTGTTTATTGTTCCATAAAAAAACAAGAAAAATTCCTTGGCTTTGTCTTCACTGAGATAATGCTGTGTATCAAATTTTGCTGGGAGCAACAAACTGAGCATTGTGTCAGGTCCTTTGATCTCCCCTGCTTTAAGTACACAAAAGTCTGAAAGATGAGTGATAGGGAGGATAGAGAAAGAAGAAAAGAGGGAACATGCCACTTTTCTGACCTTTTACTGTCTGATGACCAGATGACAGAGGGTGTGTAGGGGACACCAGAATTATAAGTAATGCAGGGGAACATCTGAAGTAAGAAGAGTTCCTCCTTGAAAGAGACTGCAAAGCCATTTAAAGGTGGGCTTGGACCAAAAACATCATAAATCTTTCTTTATGACTCAACAAAGTCATCACTGAGCTAAACTGGGTTTGAAAAGAGTTTTGGAGGGCACAGTCTTTCTAGTCTAGCAACTAAGTTGCACTCCATTCATGTTAGCATAGGTGAGCATCTATTTTGAATCCTGTATGATAAAACCTTTCCAGAAGCAAATCTGGCCTGACTCTTTCAAATGACACCAGAAGTTAAGAGGCATGTTCAATTTCTATCAGACAGATTGCAATGATAGCTAAAAACACTGTTAAGACACGAAGAAAAATCAGCTTCAATTTATTTCTAGCCTGTATGTGCCCTTAGAGATCAGATCTGAAAAATTTAAGAGTGTCTGCTAAGTTGGTAATTTGAGCCTCTCCCACTGACTGGCTGTCAAACTGTCCCTCTAATTCCAGACATGTAGCAAAACAACAGAGGTGAATTTGGTCAATATTTCCATTTTAATGTTCTCAGCACAGAAACAAGAGGCCTTTGAGGTTCTCAACTTTTCCATAACCTAAACTCATCCTAAGATACTTATGACTGCAGTCAGTTTTGCACAAAGACCACCTTTTAATAAGAAAACTGTTATTGTGATAAAGCCTATTTTAACCAGGATACTTCAGCCCACAGCATGCATAGATACACAGCTCAAAGCTGGTCCTGAAATGAAAGTAAACCATCCTACCATCTCACTGGAGCACTGGTGCATTTTAGGACTAGCTTGAATGACTGAAAAGCTAAGAATTAGAATCAGTGTTGTTTTCAAATTGCTAGCTAGCTCCATGTTTGCTTTTCCTTTTTCCCTCCCTCTTGCTTCCATATGTCTGTTCATGTGTGTTTGGCTATTAAAAGCACTTTATCAATACTGAAACGCCTCAAAATTCATTTCATATGGATGACTTCTATGGCTCCCATGATTCTTAAGCCGCCTACAGTAATTGTAACTCAGAGAATCAGAAACTAACACACAGACAATGTTGCTTTTCATACAAAGGCACAATAGGAATGAATGTATTAACCTCTGTCGTGCATGGAATATGTCAGCTTACACACTGGCGGCTATTTCTGTGAAACTCAGCTAATGTCCGCTGGCTGTGTTAAAATAAAATAAAGTTAAAAAAAAAATCTTCCCCAGAATTATGTCCCACACTCTAGTACGCTGGCCAAACAACTGAAATATCTGATGTCTACTTCATACTGATGCGGGCCAAGCTGATCTGGAGAATGCATTTCACACATCCCAGTCATAAAGGCTGAGCCTTTCCAAGCAGGTATAAAGCTCTGCTGTTCCATGTGACTTGGCAAATAACAATGAGCAGGGAGATGCATTTGAAGTGGAGAGCTTGGGGCTTTTCATGTTTGTAGAAGAGAGTAGCAATCCAGACGTTGCAGAATTAGAGATTATTTGAATCTTGATTTTCTCTCAGTCCCAAATATTACTTGGCTTCCTCCTACCAGCCCAGCATACATGACAGGTAGCAAAATTCACACTGTGGCAATGGACACCACATTTGCTTAATTCCAGTAACTTGACAAGGGCTGTGTGGCTGGTCAGGAATATCCAAAGACTTGCTATCATTAAGACGCATGGACAGCCTAATGCCTCCAAAATCCAGAATACTGACAGTCTCAGATACAGAGACAGATACATCTGGCTACCAGGTCAACTCTTTATTGTAGCTGAAAAATACGCAAACCCTTCCGTATCTTCCCACCTGTTTTCTAATTGTCCATGTTAAATTAGAATAATCACTAATTATCTGCAATACAGATCTGCCTAAAATGCTCTGGGTACCATAAAACACAGTAGGAGGGGCCAGTTATTGCTCTGAAGAGCTTATGGCCTAAAAGGACATAATCATGTTAATGACTTCTAAGCAGTTTAAAAGTGCTTGTCAGGACAGAGCTCTTCTGCCTGACAACACATTTCCTTTTGGTATTTTACAGCCTGCAGGAGAACAATCTAATGGGAAAGTGTCCTGGTTTCAGATGGGATAGCACTGGCTTTCTTCTCAGTAGCTGGTACAGTGCTGTGCTTTGGATTTAGGACGAGAATAACGTTTGATAACACATCGATGTTTTGGTTGTTGCTAAGTAGTCCTTACCCCAAATCAAGGATTTCACAAGTTGTGAGAAGCTGCACAAGAACACTGGGAGGCAGCAAGGCTGGGATGGCTGCCCTGAACTGGCCAAAGGAATATTCCACAGCAGAGAACATCATGCTCAGTTAATAAACTGGGGACACTTGTTCAGGAGGGGTCAACTACTGCTTGGGGACAGGCTGGGCACTGGTCAGCAGGTGGAGAGCAATTGTTTTCTTGGGTTTTATTATTCTCTCATTTCCATTACAATCGTTGCTATGACTACTGCTGTATTTTACTTGATATCAATTATGGGACTGCTCTTATCTCAACCCATAGGTTTTGCCTTGTATTTCCCAATTCTCTGACCCACCCCACTTTTGGGAATGTTCAGCCACAGAGAGTGGCTGTGTCGTACTGAGTTCTTGTGTGGGGTTAAACCACATCAGTAAGAAAAGCAAATGTACCGCTATGAGGAAATTCAAAGTACAAACCTAAAAGTGGTTAATTTGACAGCAGGGACACAAAAAAAGTAACAAAAACTTCCAGCAAGGTGAAAAGAAAATGTGCTACCGTTTGATGACTCTTTTGCTTCAGATGCATATTTTATGCGAAGACAACAGCCCAAAGACCCCTGTTAATTGCATTGTGTTCCAAAGGAAGAGAAAACTGGTTTTCATATTTATTTAACCTTTGCCTCCTCTACATTGTGCTGGGACTTACCTGCAGTTGGAGTGGGCCTAAGCCCGGTGTTGCTGCGGCAGCAGCTGCCATGGTAGTTGGGATCAGCTGAACGGGGTAGGGGTCACCTAAGTAAGAGAATAATAGAGGCGTCAGCACCTTTTATCTACTCTCCACCTGCAAATTAAAGTCCTGCATTCACTCTTTCCAAAAGCCTTCTTTTGTGTGCCTTGTTGAGGCCTAATGAAAAGCTCTATTGTGCAGCCTTTTACTAACACTCTTTTCACAATTCTGGCTGAGAGAGGAATGTGAATAAAAGGCACAACCAATTAAGGCGGAAACCTCATCCCTTTTCATGATGTATTTAGGGAAATGGAGAAAAAAAAGTGCACATTGATCAGAAGGCTGCACTTCAAAAAAAGGAAAGAAAGAAGATGGGGGTGGAGGAGAAGAAAAGGAAAACAGTACAACCTTGATAAGATCACAGCATTAGAAGGGAACAAATTTACAAGCTTGTCCAAAATACAAAGTTACCTAAACTCTGCTCACTGTTAGCAAACTGAGCCTCATGCAGAGTAGAAATGGTACTCAATTGACTACTGTTTTCTTTCAGTAGGGGAAAAAAAAAAAAATCTCACTTTAGTGGCAGGGTTTGATCCTGCAACAGGAAAAAGCATGTGAAGCTAAGAAATCAGACACTAGCCTTTGAAATCCCTGCACCAACTCCACTTTATGACTTGAGATTCAATTTTGCTTCTGAAGGAAAACTACCTCAAGTTTTAGTAAGAACTGCATTGTGCTTAATGAGCTAAAGGGAACCAGTAAAGGTTTTAAGAAAAATTGCAGGCGTTTGTAAAGGAAAATTACCTGAAATGGCAAAAATTGAGAAGGAGACTAGCATGTTTTAATGATACGGAGAGCTCACTTTTGGTCAATTCTAACACTTCTGATTTGTAAAAATAAACTTCATACTACCCCATCCAGAATACTATGAAGAAAGCTAGCAAAAATAGTAAGAACGTTACACACGTTATATTGCTTCTTTAGGTGATAAAATTTTTTAACAATTTCCACCCAAATAAGGCTCACTAGAGCATTTCTGTATGTCCCTATGTTCTGGTGGCATGCCCAACTTCTGTAGCACAAAAACAGACTACGGAAAAAGCAGAACACTCTGTCATGTTGCTGTACATATCATTAAAAAGGTAGATTAAAAGTTTGCCCCTTTATTGTGCTTTTTTGAATGAACTGAGTGAAAAAACAAAAAAGACAATTAAGGAGGTAATGTAGGGTGTTCTGTACCACCATTATTACTTATTTTTGAATTAAAGTTTCAAATGTTATCAAGTCTTAGTAACAGGAAACAGAAAACAAAGGGAAATAAATTTAGGTATATATTTAAAAAATGTTAGAAATAAGCTGTGTTGGTGTTCACACGTTCAGGTAAGTGGCTAATGTTTATTTTCCCCTTTTATAATGTAACCTTCTTCAGTTAGACCTTCTCATTCAAGGATTTTGATCTCCTCCTGGTAAGAATTAAATATCACAACTTCTAGTAATGGAGGACCAACAACAACTGGGCTGCCAAAGCATCTTAACAGATATCAAACTTAAATAACGGTGCATGTTTATATTTAAGACCATCTTAATTAATGCTTTGTTGACTGAAGCCCCACAGTCACTCAAGGCTGACCAGCCAAGCAATGCAAACCAAAATGTCCACCCAGGCATCCCCATTCCCAAATGTCTGTGCACCAGCCTCAGGCTACAACAATTCTATTTATTTATTTGTCAATGGGCAACAGATTTCCTGACATGCTTGGCTTTCTTTTTCTTCCCCAGAGAATGCCATTGTTTTACACTTTCTAATTTTATTTTGCTTTCTGAGGCACCCACCTTCCTTTTCCTATCATGGACTGAATCAAAAATCTTTCTAACTTTACATTTTCTGAAGAGCTATCTTTTGACTTAAGCATTGGCCTTAGACACATGAAGATACAGAGAAAAAGGGAACAGTGGTCAGAGAGTCAGGGACAATGGTGTTCAGCTGCTTCCACACCACCACAGAATGATCTCAGCATCATTCCAAAACTCTCTCCTAAAGAAGACATTCTGATCAAAAGAAAAAAAAAAAAAAAGCTGTGAAAAAAGATAAAATTTTTAATTTTTCAACTGAAAAAAAAGAGGGAAATTTTGTCAGTAGGATGCTGATTCTTACAGCCCATTAAATTTCTAGTTTTGAATGATTTGCATGAAAACACATATATTAAAAGATCGGCTTCCATCCACTCTCCCACATTTTTCTCCACACAGGCTCAGTCCATCATGCCAATTCATAAATCCCACTATTCCTACCAATAGCCCAGTTGAAGAGCCAAGATTCAAACCCACAGACAACTCTCCACACCCAGGGAAGGTTCTGGTACCCTACCCATGAAGCACTCAGATATTGACATCACACAGTGCAGGAGCAACTGCCAGCCCTCAAAATACTAACAAAGATCACAGGTCTTATCTGATAAATACACATTTTTTGTTGTTACTCTAGAACATGATACATCTTTACATCTTTTATCCTTGAATTTATTCCCGTATCAGAGTGAATGTATTGACGAAACAGTTTCAGCTAATTCTGAAATCTGGGAAATGCATGTCTTAACTACTACATCTTCAGTAAATACCTTTTGTTAGATGTAAGAAGTAGCTACATTTTTTCCCAAGCTCTAGGAACATTTCAGGAATGTGAGACAAGACATACAGTTCTCAGAAATAGATATTTCCCAAGCCACTCACAAGTCTGTACCACTGAAAACACCAATAAAATCTCAAACAACCATATTACATTTCCGTTTACAGAATTCATTACTAATCAAATGCATGCAGGCAGGAGCATCTTTCAGCTACCAAAAGAAACATTTTGCGCAACCATTTAATGTTCCAAACTACCTCTCTTGTTATGTGTGGACTTTTGGTACAAACAAAGCATCAGAGAGTTTTATAGTTGTTTTTCTTTAGTAGGCCACATGGTAAAATCTGGAGCAGATCAAAGGCTGAGATTTTTATGGTGACAACAAGGTAAAATAATTTCATTAGCTGATGCATTATTGCCTAATACATAATTATTTCCCAGCTAGCTGGTGACATCACTCTGAAAAAGAATTATTCAAGGCTGGCTACATAAAGAGAACACAGGATTTATGCACTGGTGATGCAGCAGCTAAAGAAGGGGAGGGGAAATGTCAGCCCAGGGGAGCTGAGGGGGAATATTAGAATATAGAGGACTATTATTGGTGCCCGCTGTGGGCAGTGGCCATGGATCAGGGCAGAGCACAAGGCTGAGTCCTCAGTTCTGTGCCAGTACTTTATTTCTCTATCCTTCTTCTGGTCCATCTTCCACAAACATACCCAGAACCCCTTTCATGATAATTTATGCATTGCAACTTCTTTCAATTTCAAATCACACCTTCATCCTTGCCCAAAATAATCTTCCAAGGTCTTACTTACAAGAGGATTTTTCATGAAGTACATTCACTTTCAAACCACTCTTTCTATGAACTCTCCTATGATCCTCCACTGAAAACACTTTTCTGCAGAAATTAAGCTGTGGTACAGAGCCAAGTGGGCATCCTGTCCCAACACACAAAATAACAGCCCTGTGTTTAGGAACTTGATTTTCAGCTGACTGGCTACCAGCTCATGGGTGCGAAATGATTCTGTACTTGTGGAAATACAACAATGGCTCTTTAACAACTTACATGTTTTACAAAACTTTATCAAAGGAGGTTTTTTTTATGTTAAAAAACATTAGGACTTTTTTTTCCTTAAAAGTGAAAATAAAGCATAAGAGCTAACATTATGTCTGTTGCACCATTCACCAAAACCCTTAAGATGTTTTTTTTCCTTTTTCTGTCACTCATCCCATTTATTTTCCTTCATGGTGTAATCCCCCCTAGTGCCTTGTCTTGTCTCCTGACAGGCTGCAAGCTCTTCAGAGCAGGCACAATTGTCTTACTTGCTATATAAATCAAGTTACATGCTAATGTTAAATTATAATGTTTTGACAGGATTTTAAAGTTGAACCTGATTATATGAAACAATAGAACACTGATTTTTTTTTCCCCTGAAATTTTCTTCTCTTAAAAAAAGGATACCAGAAGAGGAGAAGTAGGGCATTTATTTCCCATGATTTTTAAAAAACTCATTGTTTTACTCCTACCTATCTTTCAGGGATAGCAAATGAAAAAAAAGCCAGAGATCATGGAAGAAGAGAAAAGAAAACAATGTAAAGAATATGAAGAGCATGAAACAAAACCTAACTCTTAAATTATAATTTCCAAGACTAGTATGCTCAACTAAATTCATTATAATGAAAAATACCAAAATAACCATTTTCTTATAGTACATTCTGTTGAATGAGAAGGAATTCTGTGTTCTCTTCCCCCCATTTTTGACAAGTTCTAGAAAAAGCCACAATAATTTTTCACTCAATCTATCACTTGATTGTATTTACAATGAATAATCACAGCTGATGGCAAACTGACAGGCAAGACACTGCATCTCTTCTCCCCACTCATTTATTCTCAACCTCATTTTCCTTTCATTCTCTTGGTGTGATGGTGGACATGCAGTAAAAGTAATGGGAAGCTGCGAAAGACATGAGCAGTGTTCCCTGACTTCTGCCCCTAGAGATTATGAATTTCAATTAATAAGAAGAGTATGAAGAAGACACCACCAATGGCTTCCAAAAAGAAATCCAAGCTGGTTCCTTGATTTTCTCTGAGGATAGCTCTGGACATTGTGGGCTGAGAGGTTAGTCTGTTTTGTGTTTTAGAGAAACAAGTCAGCCTACAGAAGGGACAGGCTTGGAGGGATCTAAGAGCAGCATTCCCGCCCCACAAGGTGATCAACAGAAGGGGCCTGGCCCCTTCTGGTGGGCTCTGCTTGGAGGACAAGAGCCAATGGACATAAGGTGTACCAAGAGAGGATCAGATCTCCCTCACAAGGAAAGCCAGATGTTGAGAGCTGTCCAAACAGCTGCACTGTCTGTCCTTGGAGCTTTGCAAGCCCCAGCTAAATAAAGCCCTGAGCAATCTGATCCTATCTCCTTGATGACCCTGCCTGAAGCAAG